AGCAATAAATATCTTTAAAAACTCTCTCATTATGTTTGACTTCATATCCCATATGGCAAGTGACCAGTTCGCTAACTCTTGAATTCTGCCCCCCCCCCCACCTTAATCTTTCCTAGACTGCTTTTTTAGAAAAGACTTTGCTATATTACTAAGAAAGCTACAAGCTGTTGATAGGGCTGTTGGTGTGCCCCTAACTGAAATCGTTGTCGACGGACACTTCAACTCATGCAAAAAATTAGCAAACATCGTCTTGTCGAGCATTCACTAATCTCTATTCACAGCCCTCTCCTCTGCATCTTAACTGGTAAGACTAAAAGCAACTATAAAAGACTTCATGCTTGAACAATTCGATACATTTTATATGGTTAAAAAAATGTTAGGAATGAAACTGCCTAACTTACTTTTAAACAACAAATAAACGGCATTTTTGTTTTTCCATAAGTAATATATTTTCTAGTGTTAGATTGTAGGGATTTGACTGGTTTCCATTTTGACCGCTTACTGATATCGGTTAGATAACAACTGAAAACCAGAAGGTACTGGAGAACTGTTTCATCTTAGCTTGATATTCTTCAACTGTGTGTGGGCATCACACCACCAGGGATTCAACATGGAATCTTCAGTTTACGAGGCAAGATCGTTGGACATTCAGCCAGTAGTCTATTAATTCTAACTTTTATCAGTTCATTGAAGTGTCCCAAAGAAGGCTGAGAAAGCTGTCCAGCACTCCCTGGTTTCCAGTGATTTCAAACCGTGATAAAACTTGAAATTAATGTTTTCCTTATTTGTGTTAATTTACAATCTTAATTTCACATTTATCCTTTTATTAACATTATTATTAATGAAAATTTTCCCCGATTAGTATTCCCTTACTATGTAAATGTAAAGAGAAAGTTAGATGGAAGTTGTACTGTACTGCTGAGAATTCAACACCATATGAAAGGTACAGTTTAGAATGAAGTCAGCATTATTATTATTATTTTTATTATTAATCTTGGGATGGTCAAAGGTTACCAGATGAGTGCAAAATGTATCCCATTGACCAGCAATGCACCGGAATACATATACATACACATACATGTACTACAGAGAAACAACAAGTAATATACTTCTCCCAATCGTGAAAATTTTGGAACAAGAGTTAGAGTGAACAATTATTGTTTTCGATAAATTCTCCTTCTTAAGGCTCTACAGTCATAATTCCGTTAATATTTAGCATACACAGCAACAGCGGTAAAGGCAAACTAGAATTATATCGTCAGAAAGTGTATTGCGTGTGAAGTACAAGTGTATGAGATGGAATGAAAATGATAATAATAGTCAGTGAGTTTTAATTATCACATTCAACGTGAGATGTGAAATGACAATATATACTTGAATGACACCTTTATGAATAAATATTCAACAAAAAGGAAGTATAAGTTTCAAGGTATCAGTGTGCGTACATGAACATGTACCTCTGTATGGTTAGATCTTCATCTACTCAAATTTATTTTTTTATTTTTTTATTATTTTGATTTACAGCTTGATTCCACACCGTATTTTCAGTAAAAGTATGGAACTTTCAGCATGGATATCGGTAGCCCAAATTCAGGCCGACCATAGATATCGGGTGTGCGCCGGCAGGGGATCGAACCCCGTACCATGTGCATGGTCGGCGAGAGTCCTAACCACTGTGCCACCGACGCACATAAATCATACTGTCTTAGTCCACTTGATGGATAGATAATGCTCTATTAAACCGAAGCAGTCTTTCACAGTGATCTACCGTATCCTCGGTAACCTATCTATAGGAGCTCGACTACATCTTTCACCAGTACTCGAATCGGTGGAAATTAATGCCGAAAACCTGGTCCCTATATCCAGAAGAAGTATTTCCAGCTTACTTGTTAACCCTGGCTTAAAATAAGGTCTACAAATCTGCATTTATTCCTCTTGATGAATTTAAATAAAGCAAGAACAACAGTGGTTTGTGCAGAATAATATGGTACCATCATTTATTTCGTCGGCTTCTCATCATCTGCTTACAGCCTAAATAAACTGTGAGGTTTACGTGCAGAAAAGTTTTAACATACTTGCAAATTTTACATGTTGTCAGTTGAGAGAAATGTATGCATACAATGGTAAAGGAGTTACGTAATAAAGACGAGAGGTGAGTAAGATGATGAGTAACTAATAAATTTGGTAACGATGTACTGAGTTCAAATCACGTCATAGAAACAAGAGACAAGTAATATTATAGATTATAAAAAAGGGGGGTGAGGTTAAATGCAAAGATTAGGTAATCAGAGTAGAGAATAAAGACATCCACTTACCATGGCAAGGAAAGACTAATAACTAATAATTAGTTACTCATCATCTTACTCACCTCTCGTCTTTATTACGTAACTCCTTTACCATTGTATGCATACATTTATTTTGACTTGAACTTCCTGTGTAAAAACTATATAACCACAATTTTCTGAGCACTTTTCACCAATTGTGGAACTTTCTGTCAACTGACAAAATGTAAAATTTGCAAGTATGTTAAAACTTTTCTGCACGTAAACCTCACAGTTTATTTAGGCTGTAAGCAGATGATGAGGAGCCGACGAAATAAATGATGGTACCATATTATTCTGCACAAACCACTGTTGTTCTTGCTTTATTTAAAATCTGTAATAAACATTTTGATAAATTCTTTTCCCTTTCTCTTCCTGTTTCATTGTCAAACATTTACTTCAGATCTTTAATGATTTCATGACCTTTCCTACTACTTTCATTGCCCTAGGTTTACGTAATACTTGCAAATTTATTAATGTACGTACACAATAATTTTCACTCCATTTCCCCGAAATTCTTCGTTGTTCTTCTAAAAGTGTCAATGTGTTTACACCACACCATTATTATAATTATAATAATTATCATGATTTTGTCACTCTTATTTATTAATTATCATCCTCTAAAGTTACATCTAGTACATCCAATTCATGTGTGTGTTTCTTCGTGGTATTCATTTTGTCTATCACATCACTGACTACAACTCACCCATTAAAACTCTACTTCTTTTTCAGGTGTTAGTCTGTAGAGATTTTGATTGGTTTCAAGTTTGATCATGACCAGACACATTAGCTGGAGAACCAGTGAAAATCATGGAATATTGGGTAGCTATTCCGTCCTAGTTTGGCAGTCTTCATTAGTACTCACCAATCACGCCACCAGGGATCGAGCCCAGTACGTTTAAGTTACTCGGTGAGCTCGTTTACCACTTAACCACTAGGATAGAATCCAGTGGCCCATGAATTAGAACTCCCGTCAATTCATGATATAGCACTAACCTCAACTAATTGTCTCGTAATCTAAAGGCACCGGGCTCTATTCCCGGTGGAGTCATGGATGCATACCGATGAAGAATCCCAAACTAGGACGAAACGGCTCCCCAACACTCTACGACTTTCACTGGTTCCCTAGCTAATGCATCAGTCGGTAATTAAATTTGAAGCCAAATCTGAAGAAAGTCAGAGTATTTTTTTGAAGGTTAAACAACAAGTGGAGAACTACTGAAGACTGGAGAATACTGTATTTGAGACTTACCAATACATACTTAAGACCCGAATGAAGATCGATCCCAAGATCTTCGAGTCATGAGGCCAACAAAGTTACCATTCATTTAATTTGCAGTTTTGTAGTTTTCTAGCACAGCTCAACAGTTTTGCCCAGGAAACGATTATCAAAAATTATACAGTCCACAACGGTATGTAGCAAAATCTAACGAGAAATTAATCTTCAAGTGTCAAGTTATACGGATGTGACTGATTTAATGGTTGGTTTCGTTAGGAACTGACATTATTTAAAATGTAATTTAAAATCTAGTAGTATCGGACAGTTGTTTCATCCTACTTTGGGAATTTTCAACAGTGAGCACCTGCAATCCCATCAAGAATCAAATTTAGGAACTTCAGAACACAGGACAAGCCATTTGACTAATTAACATGAGTTGCTGGAAAAAGGCAACCAATGAGTCCCACTGCACGAACCAACCCTTTATGACGTCATGGGTGAATACTACCAAGCTACTGCTGACTAATACGAAAGAGGTATCCAGAACTCCGTAGATTTCGATGATTTTCTAATAGTTCTCTGCATAAGTGACGGAAATCAAGTTTATTTCTTATATTTTTATTCTGATTTCGTGTTTCTGTGGAGCTCGGACTGATTTTTCGCTCACCAACTCCACACCTAAATGCCTATCTTTATACGGGATTAGGATCAGCTAGTGAACTGACGAACCGGTAAATTAGGCACTAATCACCTATGACAGGAGAGATCTAAGGGAAAAAGCCTCTTGCACTTACCCAGACGAGGCAGTATCGTTTCAATCACGGGTAGAACGAATGAAGACTCCGAAGATAGGATCGGAAAGTAAGACAGATCTTTATTACTCTGAAACAATTGCGAAAATTCACTGGGCTCAACGTAAGAAAACAGATTCAGATTTTCAACACTGATATCAAGTCAGTGTTCTTATATGGTTTTGAGACCTGGCGCGTCACTGAAACGATTTCCAGCCGGCTACTATAGACTCTTATCAATGGCCGGCTTTGCTCTATACTGAAGATCCGAAGGCTGGCCAGAAAAGATAAGCAACAATGAACTGTGGTAACAAACCAAACAAGAATTATGCAGAATGGAATGGAAACGAGCTTGATATAGGCTAGTGAGACGACTAAGTAAAATCATGTATCAGACAGACTCGTGAGTAGAACCTGAAAACAAAGCGAGTGACAAATTGGGCGTGAATCCAAGAGTCACAAGGAGACGACCATGGAAGTGGGAAATGAAAGCTTCTGGGCTATCATGGCGCCAACTGAAAAAGAATATAGAGAACAGAGTGGAATGGAGATGTTCTGTTGAAGCCCGATGTTCCACTCAAAATACAAGGGAGTAGTAGTAGTAATAATAGAGACAGGAAATCAAAACCAATGTGTTATGAAAAATAGAAACAGCATCTCACAACTCACTGTTTAATGAATCTGGCAGACTTCCGTTCACTTTTATTTTGTCTAAATTCAAATAGGCTAATAAGGCTGCTGAATTTTTAATATTTGACGTTATCAATCCTTCTTCAATTGCGTTATTATTATTATTATTATTATTATTATTATTATTATTGTAGGTGTTATTATTATTATCATCGATTTCATGTATATCACTGGCAGTAGTTGTATTAGTAGTAGTAGTGTTATCAAGGAGACTACTATAAAACTGATTTCCAGTTGATGAAATATCATGAACTCGACAATTTTCTTTCTCATATGCATAACATATAAACGGATAAGAATACGAACCATAATAATAATGATGATCAGTTGTATACAAATCAGCCTTTAGTAGAGAATTCGCCGAGGATATGTCTGATGTATACTTCATTTCATGGAGATTACCTAAGTCAGATCCTTGTGATTGTGTCGTTTGCTGTTGTTGTTGTTGTTGCTGTTGTTCTGGTTGTTGATTTTCAGTGTTCAAGTGGTAAAGTGACACAGCGGAATTTGAATTTGATTCCAAATAAGGAGTGCTGTAAATTGGTGATGTAGCCTTAGTGACAGTAGTAATATTAGTCTTAATATGATTACTACTGGTAGCAGTAGTATTATCAGCAGTGTTAGTAGTATCTGAGTAGACATTTGAATAATTCCACATATTATCAAAATATGTTGTCATAAAATGATTTGTAATCACTGGTTCATCTTGACAATATTCATTTATATGATTATCATTTATTATTATTGATTCATTGCAGTAGAATGGGTTGTTATTGTTGCTATCATTATTAGTACTATTATTATTATTACTATTACTATAGAAATGTGACATCTATTTAAATGTCAACTAGAATAAGTTGAGACTTGAAATAAACTAGGCTAATTTAAATGACCGTTGTTCAGTGAATCAACTGAGTTAAACAGAAAAAAGTGTCATTTGATCACCTATTCTCCCCCTTTACACTCCACCAGAAAGAATGTCTTCCTCCCTTCCTCCCATTTTATCCCCATTCCCTACTTTTCTTTTTTCTATTCAATTCATCAAAGGAGAGATAACAAATTAAGTGTGCAAGTGCACCTGTGTGCTGTTTAAACTGACCAATAGGAAATGACTGTGCAGGTAGAATAAGAAAAACTTACAATAAAATCGCGCCTGAAATTTGCCTGAAACAAGAGAGACTGTATGTGTATGGGTAAGATGTTTGAAAAAACAGATTGAATTAAATCTGATTGGTGGTCAGTCATATTCAGTACACAAATATTCATCGCAAAGGATTTGATGGGGGGAAAAAGGGACAAGTGTGAAGCCAATCAGTGTGACCTGGACGGAAATTTGGGTTAGTGATAACTAGAAGTTAACAGAGATATAACATTTTCGGGCCCCAGATGACTTCATGAATGCATAAGAGGTAACTTGTATCGCCCAGTGGTCTGGTGGATAACGTTTTGACGTTGAGTGTTGCAGTTTAACTTCGTATGACCACTATTCACCCATCTGACGACTACTAAGTGGCACGAAATCCGCACCTATAAAATAACATCATGTTTATCTCATTCAAGTGTTGGCTTGCAGGGATTTGATTGGTTTCCCGATTTCATCATGAAATGACATCGGTTGGAGAAGCATTGGAAAACCCGGGAGTACTAGACAGCTGTTTCGTCCTAGTTTTGGGGCTCTTCGTCAGTACGTACCCACATCGCTTGGGTTCGAACCCAGGACCTTCCGGTTACAAGGCTAGCGAGCTCATAGACCATTAAGCCACTGAGACCCAATCTAATGGTCAATCCATGAATTCCAACTTCTGCAAATTCATGATATGGTGCGACCACTAGCGAATGTCATCGCTGGCGGGTATTTGTTCTCACATACTACCTGTTTATCTTAAGTTATCGTTGAAATGTCCATACTACAAGCCATGTCAGCAGAGCACTTCGATTCAATAAAATTAATCAACGAGAAAATAAGTGGTTTTCAGGGACCTGACTGATTTTAACTTTTAAAAATCTTTGAATTGTGGTCAGAATTTCATAGTTATTTTAATGCTGACATTTTACAACTTCGTAATACCTGTTTATATCTTCCCCATACTGAATAGTAGTTAGCTAAGTGGTAAACTTCAAAACGGATGCATGCTGCTGATCGATTATAAGCAGCTAGATACTATTTAAGTAATATTTAGATTTTGTTAGTTAATGAAATTTACAATAGGAAGTTATGATTGAACAAACTTACTGAACTGGGTGTAAGAATATTGATCCACTCATGACACTTAGCAGTGCTTGCACTATATCATGAGTTGACCGGAAGTCGTCAGTAATCTGTTGATATACGTTTCTTGCTTATTGGCACTTGTCATAAAATTTATCTACAATCCTAAAAGAACCAATGCCTCCTGTCAGACTGACAGCCATATCATTCAGTGTTACAGTCAGAAACGTTATTAGTCAGCTATTCAGGCAAATGACTGATTCCCTACAAGTTGTGTACAACCCGTTGTCTCTTAAGCTTGTATGTTTTTAAAGTTGAAGAGTTTCACACTAGGACATTTCAATTTCTTATACTTTTTTATCTCACGTCTCTTAGAAGTAAAATCCACTCTGAACGTTTACGACTATCCTCAGTTTTCATGACTTACTTCTACGACATAAAAGGCAAAGAGTTCGATTTATCGATAGAACTTCCTTCTATCTCTCTGTCTCTCCCCCTTTTCTTTGAATGGAATTTTGGTTTTAACGATTTAAGAGATGTGTGTAAAATTTGGAAGTTGACAGAAAATGACTTCAAAATAAGTGTTTTAAATTAATGCTTCAAAATGAACTGTTAATTAATATGAATAAGGCATTAAGAAGACAAATTTCCCGAGATGATATCATTTCGTAGTTTCTTTTCAACCGCTTTACAACTAACATGGTTAACAATAATAAAATAAAGTTCATGACAATTACTCAATTAAATAAAAACAAAAGTACATACTAATGACCAACAAAAATCAATAGACTTCAATCTTCGCCTACCCTGGACTACATGACCTATCTAAATATGATTGGTCATTAGTATGTACTTTTGTTTTTATTTAATTGAGTAATTGTCATGAACTTTATTTTATTATTGTTAACCATGTTAGTTGTAAAGCGGTTGAAAAGAAACTACAAAATGATTTCATCTTGCGAAATTTGTCTTCTTAGTGCCTTATTCAAATTTATCAAAGGGACTAATTGTTTTAATGTTAATTAATAATTGATTTTGATGGGTAATGAAGAAAAGTCATAATTATTTATACTATCCAGATACTGTATGAACCTTTTTTACATACACAAGTTGCTGCTTCAAATAATAGCATAGCTAAATTTGTCTATAGAGACTAAATGGCTTCATCGATAACGCTTGGGGGTTTCATAGAACAGATATTGAAGAAGTTCGGAGCAGTTTGCCGAACGAAACGTTGGAATTACTCATTTCACTTTCGCTGAGATTTTTCAAATATAATTTTTACAAATGCCTACTTCTCACTCAGCGCCCAATTATTTTGAAACTATTCGGTCGAATCCTGATCACAGTTCATGTGAACAGGTACCGAGTTCCAGTCCAAACATGCATCTGGATGCAGTTGTATTCAGCTGAATATTGTTCAGTGGGATAAAATAGATAATACTGCTAATCACTGTCAAATATATCACCTAAAGTTATTTATAAATGACTGAAATATCAAAGTAATTGGACTCCTGATATCAGTTAGACAACCATTGAAAACCAGGGAGTAATGGACAGCTGTTTTGTCCTAGTCTGAGACTCATCGGCAGTACGCACTCACCGGGATTCGAACGCAGAACCTTTCGATTACAAGGCAAGCTCGTAGACGATTCGGCCAGTGGGATTTGACTCAGTGGCCAACCCAAGAATTCTAACTTCTACTAATTCGTGAGTCCCAAAGTGGAACAGAACAGCTGTCCAGTACTCCCTATTTTTCAGTGATTCTCTAACTGATATCAATCAGTGGTCAAACTTGAAGAAACAAATCAACCCTTAATAAATAAACACTGGTGATTATTTTTAAAACTCTAGTCTACACCATTCCACTTATCATAGACCAGCAATTAGGGAATTCATGGATTAACATCATGCCTTAATCTGACAGTTTTTAGCTCTTTGACACGCAAATCTAGCTTCAGCTGACGCATTTTGTGGCAACCGAAAAAAATAAAAATAAACCAGTGTACTGTGATCGTTAAAAAAATGTGAAAATGCTTGAAATTCAAATCTCTTCTTATTTTATGACATCTGATATATTTAATATATCTCAATCCTTATTGAATTTAAAGGAAGTCATCACTTCTACTTACGTCATCTAGGCAACATCGTCTCCACTACAGGCAGCATTCACGACTATCAGAGAAGAAAGACATTACTGGGAAACCAGTGTGGGGATCTGACGCATTCATAAGATCGAAGTTTCCAGCACTAATGACAAGTCATTGTTTCCATATGTTTCAGAGACGTTGTGCGCGTCACCAGAAACATTTTCAGCAGACTACCGTAGACTCTTTTATTTGAATAAACACACACACCCACACGTACAGTGATACAGCATTAACAACTTGATGAAATTTAGAGTGCATGACAAGTTACGCTTCTACTGATCATATCAACGTATTCAAACGGCTTCATAACACTTACTCCTTCTTGTTCTTTGTTACAACTTTCCATGTACCTCATTCTATTGTAGAATCATGTTGATTGCACGTGTTTGGTGAAGAATCAATGAACAAGGATTTCCTAATTAACTTCTTTCTCTCTCCACCTAACTACATTACCGTTTTAATAATTTTACCCTCTGGCATTTTATCGTGCAATTACATGTAAGTTAGTGCATTGTAGTGGCAAAGCTTTTGTCTAGATTACTTAATAAGATCAGTTATTCTAGGTCTAACAGTCGAAATAACTCAGCGTCTATCTCCGACATATGGAGAATTGTAATAAATAAGAACAGAAGAGACTAAAACAATATAAATCAAGTTAAGAAGTCGTGTGATATGATGGTGGGTGGCAATAAATTGTACTCAAAAGGTTATTCAGTTATTAACACTGTGTGGCGGCCTTCTTAAAACTTGGGCTACCGAAAACTTCCATCTCTCTATTGCATATATTTTCTCTCACTCAATTTGTTTTGATCGATTAAGATATGACCTCTAATGGTATTATCTACTCTTATGTGTATTTAAAATGTTTCGAAGCTTCTGATTCGCAAGTTCCCACTAAACTTGAGGAATAGCTGGATTGTGAGTGGCAGCGTGTTCCAATACATAAGATGACTGTTCTTCAGTTATGTTCTTGGGTCTCAAAATGTACTTCTGAACATCTCACAATTGGCTTTCGACTAGATATCGTGGATTTCTTGAAGGAGACAAAGCATATATATATATATATATATATATCAAAATGGAATGGTTTGTGCTTCAGTTCAGAGACCATTGTGTCATATGATATGCTGTCAATTAATATTTTACCTGGAGATATTGTACAAAGGGGAAATACCATGCAATGAACTCCTCTGAAAATTCTGTAAATTTTATAAATACTGTGCAGAATAAACATGTTATTATTATCTAATGTGAAATAGTCTGACTTGGTTATGTGATTTGTGCGTCGGTGGCACAGCGGTAGAATGCTCCCCAATCACGCCTGTGGTCCGGGGTTCGGTCTCCGGCCGACGCCCTCCTTTACCTCGTTAAGCCAGTATTAAGACTGATAAAGAAGGAAGCTTGGGCATGTAGCAACAGCATCCCATAAAATAAGAAAATACCACTGTTACTGGGACTTCAAAACTCTAGTTT